AATCCTCGAGTCACCAATTGGTGTTTTGGTTTTTTCGTCCGTTATTGCTAAGCGTTTCTGAGAAACTTCAAGGAACAGCGTGAGCCCGAGCGTAGCCAGAGCTGGGCATTAACGGTCTACGAGACGTGACTGACAGTTTCTGACGGTGAAGTCAGTTTCTGATGGTACAACAACAGTTTTTAAACGGTTTTGGACAGTTGGCACGACTTTGGATAGTCACCGTTCGTCTTTCCTGGTGCGGATCAAGTCCTCTTTGAACAAGCAATATCTGAAACATTTTTGGAATTGGGTCAAGTTCAACAATGCCTGGGTCAAAGAAGGGACAGAGTGTCTTGGATGCAAACAGGAAAGTAAGTCATGGTGACTTGTCTGTTAGTTGTAACGATGTGTCTGATGTTAAGCATGACATGGTTGATGTTACTGTTTCGCCGTTCAGGGATAATAGGAACATCAAACTCCCTAAATTTGAACCACGGTGTTTCGATGGAAACCCGGCTGATTATTTACAATTTGTAAATGAGTTTGAGATCATGCTGATTAGTTTTCTATTAAGTGATGAATTGAAGTTAATGTATTTGATGAGGTATTGCACTGGAGATGCTTCAAGAGCTATACAGTGGTGTGGGTTTATGAAGCCAAAAGAGGACTACTACGAGGCTCTGAGCATATTACGTCAAAGGTTTGGAAGACCTACGATGATTGTAGGGAAATTATTCGAGGCTGTTAAGGGTAATGGTGGTCAATTACAGGATGACACCCAGTCACTCACTGAGTTTTTAGATAATCTTATGACTTATAAGAATACCTTGATTTCTATGAATTGCATGAATGACCTCAACTCGAGTTTTATACTAGAAGTAATAGCGAGACGCCTACCTACTCGACTGCAAAGGAAGTGGGTGAAGATAAGCTCCCGTATGGGGGATGAGGGTATCGAGCCAAAGTTTGATGATATCCTGAAACTAGTAAAAGATAGCGTCAATCAATCGATGAGCAAGTTCGCCAGTCTATTACATCTCACCCCTAGAATAGAGCAGTCTGAGAGCAAAATGCAATCATTGATGACGAGTAGGCCTCAGAGAGGTGGATATCGAGAAGGCTCCATGATGTATAGTAATGCATATAGACCTAGTGAGTGTAACAGGTTTCGTAGTACATCCTCAACAGATGAGATACAAGATGCAAGACAAACACGGTTGTGTTTTACACGTTTGCAAGAGGTGCATACAAAGGTGAACTGTGAACCAGTGAGCAAGTTCAGTGATAAGCTAAATGTGAAATCCAGGCCTGACTCCGAATTGTGTGACTCTAACGGTACGGTGAAGAAGTCTGTAGTTGCAACTGGTAAGCCGTTGTTAAATAGAGTGTCACGGAATAGATTTACTGCTTCAGAGCGCAGTTCTGACTCCACAAGTTTACAAGGTATTACTAGTCAGAGTGAAGGTACAAAATCTTTAGGGATTTGTGGGGAAGAACCCAAATCATCTACTGCTGTTTTTAAAGAGTTTGAAAATGATGAAGTCGACCAGATAGATGATGGTAAATTGAATATTTGTGATAATTATCATGATAGTGCAGATTTGTCTTTGGTTGATCATGATGAAATGAGGGGAGTGCCTACTACTTCTAAGTTAAATAAGGGCTTTGTACAGATCAAATGTGAAGTAGAAATAAATGCAGTTGCAGCAGGCATGCATACTTGTGAGACCGTCAGTGTGATTGATCAGCATGTAGCCCACCTATCATCAGATGCTATTGCTAAACCTGAGCTGATAGTAAAAGACAGCAGTGGTGGTGGTCTTGCAGGTAGACACATTTCTGAAAGTCGAGCAACAACAGCTTCTGATCCACCGCCAAGTTCATCAACTTGTGTCACTCAGTCGTCGTTGGTGTTGTCATCCACAATGGAAAAGACGCCCATCAACTCAAGTGTCTTGTGCAATGACTTTGATAGTATTGGTGCATTTGAAAAGACGAAAGATATTGGTCAGTTTAGTGAGAATAAGCCAAGTGTAAACGAGAGAGTAATTGTTAAATTGACTTGCATGAATAAAGGCATTTCTAGTTTCAAGTTACTATTTGAATGTTATTATCTTTGATGTAAATTACTCTGTGTCTACGCTTGGTTGACCAGATACGTCGTGTGTTTGTTCGTCATCTATATTCTACGATACAATGACATGAGCGTTTTACCGTTCAGATTTGAGGATATAGCTGATAGAAGTAAGTCAGCAAATGAACTCTGCAACGATTTTCCAACCTAGGGCGTCAACCTGAGAAGGGTTGTAGGCGTACTGCTGTAAGTCCTACAATTCTTCAAAGGGTAGCGCATTAATGATCAGTCCAATGTGCTTAGTGTGTTATTTCGTACACATGTTCATATTGTATATACTGAATTGATATCATCTGTCATCTAGCTGTTGGTAATTCTGTTTGTGTCCGGACGACTTCCACTTGGATCATCAACCTGAGAAGGAATGTAGGCGTACTGCTGTAAGTCCTACAGTTCTTCAAGGGTAGTTCGTCAAGGCAGAATCCACCACATTTGATGTGTTGATTGTACATATATTTGTGTTAAAAATTGTGTGAGTTCCAATTATTGTAATTGTTGGTTAATCTTGTTTGTGTCCAGACATTCCACAAATTACAATCGTCAGCCTGTGAAGGGTTGTAGGCGTACTGGTGTAAGTCCTGCGATTCTTCAAAGGAATTCCATCGAGACACAATCTGCGAGTTTGTGTGTACTGTTTGTATATATGTGTGGTGTGTCATACCAACTGGTGTTTTTGGATTCATTGTGTTTACTTGTTGTTTTCGTACCTTGTTTTTATTGCATAATTTTGTTAAAATTTTCGTCGTGATTACTTCTGAAGTTGTGTCCACTCTTCTAAATCCGTAAAAATGAATTGATTGATGTTAAGGACAGCAGATGGGTCGTGTACGCCGGGGAGGCTATTGCTGAGAATGAAATGCACACGGAGATAATTATTAGCTGTGGTCCCACACGCCGGGGAGAAAGAGTGTAAACGACTGAGGCTCGCAAACGTCACCGTTACTAGAACTGAGGCAGAATGAGTGACAAGCGATTTCAGTGGTAATTGGTAGTGAGTAGATAAGACGATGTGCGTAGAGTATCGTGAGGCGCTGTTATGGTCACGTTGTATTCTCTAAGAGTCATTCTAGCAAGTGGAGATTGTGTTGCAAGAGGATGCCTTTAACTGGAAGGCGCAGGTCGTCATTGATGTGTGAGATTGTGCTGTGGGTATGCTTGTGGTGTGTTGGCTTTTCTGTTTGTTTTCCATTTCAGCTCTGTCCGTGTGACCCAGGTTTTCGCAATGGCATCCAAGTCAACGTGTATTGGTCGTGATGGAAAAAAGGGGTTGGATCCCTTTTTTGCCGGGGAGTGTCAATGTAGCTGAAGATTGAACGATCAATTCATGGTTGTTTGCTCAAAACCAACTTCCCCAATTTTCGCGGAGGCATCAATACGACAGTCATCGTCTCATCGGTCGCTGTTCAGAAGGAAGTCAGCAGTAAACCGTCAGAAGTAATATTGTGATTTATTATTGTAATATTTGTTCACAGACCTTAGTTATAACATTGTTTATATGTTGGTGTAAACATAAAGAATCCTCGAGTCACCAATTGGTGTTTTGGTTTTTTCGTCCGTTATTGCTAAGCGTTTCTGAGAAACTTCAAGGAACAGCGTGAGCCCGAGCGTAGCCAGAGCTGGGCATTAACGGTTTACGAGACGTGACTGACAGGCTCTATTACGGGCAGTCCTGATTCATGTATTTGGATCTAGTACATCAAGCAATAATAAGCATAGGTAACACTCAAGGTTTCCACCTTCTTTTATTTCCCCAAAATACACACAAGCACAACAGATTTATACTTTTCATGCGGCTCAACCTTATTTGACTTAGATACTCTAACAATATTTTTTTTAAATGTTAGCAGGCACACTGATGGTATATTCACATTCCTAAGAAGCTTCAAAGCTTTTTCATCTTCAACCCAGTTTCTAAATTCTCCAGGTTTAATTTGTTCTTCGAAAACCTTGCCAATATCAACTCTGATGGTGTTCTCTTTAACAGATTCACTCGTAGATTGTTGCATGCTGCAAACATGAACGAGAAAGACACTTTTTTTCACGATTTCTACATCTTAAGTAATTAACCGAGCCAACAAGAATAACGGCAACCAACAAACGGATTGGAAACAACTGCTTCTGCCAGTCAAACATTTTCATGTGCCTAATTTCGAAAACTTCTACACAGTACCAATTCGTTAACCGCTGAAAAACAACTAAAACACTGAAAGCCGCATGAATGCAAGGTATGAAACAATTACACCGAAATGAATGCACTGACCTGGTAGTGAAAACTTTCGAAACCAAAGAAATAATTCATTTTAACAGCAATGGAAACAAAAAATGAGGTGAAACGCATCATTTGTGAACAATACGCAACAAGATAAGTCGTGTATAACGGCAGGATAAACGGAACAACAAACGCGTACACGAACAGCTACGGAACTACGATCCAACATGGCCGACTAACATGGACGAAAATGGCCTCTAGGCGTCTCACTCCACCGATGACCTTGATAAGTTACGGATAATTTCAGTCAAAAAATGCGCACATTCCAGAACCTAATAACTGTTTGACAGTAGAAGCCAATTTTGTTAACCAACCTTTTGCGTTTTAAATGCCTTTTGTAGTTATTTCTTTGAGAATATGTTGAAGAAACTTATTTAGCCTGCATTTATGAAAGTTTACCGTGACTTAACTTTGTTTACCATGTTTTAGTGCTACCATCCTTTCTGCTCCTAGTTTTATTAACTACTAATTAACTGTGGTAAAACTCAAGAGTTATGAAAAATGTTTCGTTATATCATTAAATTCTAACTATCCGAAAGCAAAACAAACACACTTTGTCTGCTCCAAATGCGTTGAATACTTCAGGCGGAAGGTTGATGCGCGACGCTTCAGCAGCCAATGTCCTTGATCAATGAAGTAGGAATTTGTAAGTATTCCATAACTAAGTCTAATTCTTATAGCTTTCAGGAAATATATTTTTGAAGCACTTTCAAAAATATCAGGATGGAAGATTCTGATTATGGATGATGCCGCCACACGAGTATTATCATCATGTTTTAAGATGCAAGATATTACTGAGTTTGGCATAACTCGTAAGTAAACATTTAGTTCTCATAGGTTTATCTCTATTTAGTTGTCGAATCTCTCAAACGCAAAAGGCAGAAACTTAATATGCCAGCAATATACATAATGCGCCCTAGAAGAGCGGTAAGTATATTGATGTCCTAATATTTCTGAAGGAGGTTGAGTTGCTGTTACAAGATTTTCCATCTTCGGGTCCAACATATACAAGCGCGCATGTCTTTTTCCTGTCAGGTATGTCTTTGTTATGATTGTTATTATGTTTGCTGAGATTTTATAGGGATCGATCTCTAGACAACAGTTTAAGACAAATTAAGCTCCTGCAATTGTAACATTTATAATACATGGGAATATGGAATATTAGGTCACTTATCCAGAACTTTGCAGTGATTTTCGTTGAAATTTAAGGTTATGCTGATCAAACACCTATTCATACACAACTGATTCCTCAATAACTTTGAACTCATGTATATCACTGTGTTCTAATATGTCACTATGCCGATTTTATTATTTTGAAGGTATTTTTGGTGTCCTAATCGTACCTGAGCTCTGTTAACTCTCTGTCTGATAGATATGTGGAGTGGTAGCTATTGCAGTAATACAATGTTTTGTTGAAAATGACTGACTGGATTTTATTGTTGCATTTTCGTTATAACTGTTGCTAATAAGTTTTAGTTATTCCTTTTTAGCCAACAGGTAGACCTTTAAAGTGTGACCAATTTCGAACAGATGTAGAATTTCGGGCAGACACATTAAGTACGTTTTCTCAAGTAGCACATTCTATCATACTTGAAGTCTTGCTAATATAGGACGGTTCTACCAGTTTATTGCTTGATATTTTGGAGGCGAAAACTTAAGTTAACTAGACAGAACACAACTTAACATCAGTACACAAGACCTCATTAGGATTTGCTGGTCTCTTCAGCCACCTGCAGAATATCTTTACGTTGATTTGAACATCGTGTTTTAACACTAAATCAGTGTATTAGTCGTAGCGGTAGACATGATATCTGTCTGTCGATAAAGGTAGGTGTCTGCTCCTTATTTGTTCGCTTTTTTTACGACTGTGAGATATGGACATTGGTAATGGATTAACTGAAGTAGCTAGATGTCTTTGGTCACGGATTGTTGCATCCTGTCTCATGTTATGTAGTATGATGTGGTCGATGTGGAGTGTTGGATAAAGAGGGTAAGTCGATCGATGAAGTCATAAAGCTAGGTCGATTGAGATAGCTAAGACATGTGTTATCCTTACCTAACGTAGAATTAATTTGGAAAAGAGTTAAAGGTGGTCAAATCAAAACCTGGAGTCAATCCATGAAGTTTTGATAGTAAGTTAGAGGTGTAGATTGCCTGTTTGAGATCCTGCAGATTATAAGAACCAAAGACCAGAAGTTGTTGGTGATGTGGCTCAAAACCATCCTCACTTGCGCAGATGAGTTTACTCTGTAATCTCCTAGTTCCATTAAACCCTCAAGTGTTTACACGTAATTTTTCCTTCTTACATATATTTCTGCCAATTAAAGCTCCTATTAGGATTTTTCTTTTTCTCTACGTTTGTGCTATATGGAGTGTGACAAGTTGAACTGCTCCACTTTTGTGCAAAGTTTCACCTCAAAAACTCAGTCAGTTAGTCAGTAATCTTGATCGATTGATCTAGTTGCAATGAGTTATGTGCGTTGAACCACCAATATCCCGAGTAAGTTAAGATAGAATAAAGTTGGAAAATGCTATGAGTAGTCAAATCGTCACCTTTTTGTATATATACTTTCTCAGCGTTTCACTCTGATGTGTATCTGTAGTTTAATGTAAAGTAATGTACCCTCTTTCGTTTTCTCTACTCACTTGAGAATATCCTTAACTTTCTCCAGACAAAAGTCATCCTGCACTGACAACTATTACACACTATGTGCTTGTTCTTACAGTTAAGCATTCCATTAATAGTAAACTGATTTCCATGTTATAAAATCAATTTTTTATTCATGTACTATCTATGGCTTTTTATGTAATAGACTAAGGAAATCTTTGTAATTATTCTTGTTTAGCATGTTCGAACGATTTACTCAAACAGATTGCATCGTCACAATCAATCCGATACTTCAAGACATTGATGCAATTGTCATTGGATTTTATACCTTTGGAATCACATCTCTATACTCTAGATGCTATGGAGACATCACAACTTTACTTTTTACCCGCTGATATTGTTCATGACAAACTTAGTCGAATCGATCAGATTGCTGAACAGCTAGCTTCTGTATGTATAACGTTACAAGAATACCCGAAAATTTGTTATCACAAGTGAGCCTATTTTGGCATTTTGTATCAAGGGCTTGTTGTATTTATTACTGTACTAAAAGTTATTCTAAAATGCACTAGATAAGTTAGTGAAAGCTGTATCACATCCGATGTGTATCACTGACAACTGATAGTCACTAACTAATTTAATCTGCATTTATCAGAGTTATGCGCCTAAATATTACCAATTAGTTGTTTTGGATGCAATTCGCTTTCAATGTGAATCTGACAGACAGTAGTTTTCTAAAAATTGTGTATCCTATCTGATTGCTTACTCCTCAGTACTAATTGATCTCTGCTGATATATTATACGTCCTGCAACTAATAGCTGCGCGCCACACTTAAATAAGGCCTTTCAAATGTCGGAAATATTGAAAAATATTTGTGTACTTCTTTCAGCATGAACAGAAATATGTAGGCTGTCAGACAGTTGCCGTAGATTTCGATTTTACTCCGTATCTGATTACATTCCAAACTATTTGGTCGCGTGGCCCAAAATAATACCCATTAACACATGCAAACGTAACGATAAAGGAACCTTCATTCAACATATCCATGTCGTGAACTGATCGTATTACCTCTTCCAATCTGTCCCAAATCTAGAAAACATTGAAACATGAGAATCTCTCTCAGTAACCACATGTGTATTAATAAAATTGCCAGTGAGACGCATTTTTAGTGCGGCGACTGATAATATTATCCGTCTACTCAAAATTCTTTAGGCTTTAAACTTGTGGTGCACACGCTGGTTTTGAGCACGTCACTAGCTGACAGGGGTCTAGAAGACTTTACGTTGACGTGCTTAATACATATAACAAAACCAATGTTTTGTGATCGATGGTGATGTGGCTCGAAATCGTTAGCTCTAGCTCAGATACTTCCACTCCTTGTGATTTCCTATTATCCATTAAATCCTCACATTTGTCCATGTTATTATTCTTTCTGTCGTACATTTCTGCCCATTATTTTCAGTTGCTTTATGGACTGTGATACTTCTGTAAAAGGTTCTAAGTGGGAATCCAGTCATTCAGCAGTGATATACGTTGATGTTTTCTTTTTTTTTTATTGTTTGCTTATATCCTTTCTCTGGGAATCTTAAGAAAGACTTTTAATGCATTACCTTTTTTAAGATTTAGTGAAGCTAGTTATGTATTTATGAGTCTACTGCCGAACACAATTATCATAGAGTATCTTTATTCTCTTAAACGTGTAGTTTTAGGTGTAGTATCACTATCCTCATCATTAACTATTATTCCTGTTTTTATATTCCATATATTTGTTTCCTATTATAGTCTGACTAAATCTTTGTAATGAAAGATGTTCAACATAACCCTTGTATATATAAGGGAAGTGATTATTATTTATTTATTTAAACGCATAAAGAACTTGGTACAATATGGCACCAAGAAGGATGCGCCACACAATAATAATAAAACACCAGAAAAAAAAGAAAAAAAGAAAGGAAAATATAAGTAAAGAACGGATAAAGAACTTCATCTGGAAGGAAAACAGTCATGCTTAACAAGTTCAAAGAGTATTCGTCAACTATCATCGGGAAGGGAAGAAAGAAGGAAATTGCAACACGTTCGCCATTTATTACGATTCTTGGCCATATCCGATAACGTTTCGAGCCATCGATTTGAGCTATCTCTCGGACCCCAACCAGGGAGTCGTGACACACCAACCGATGCTAATCCGACGACGCCACGTCATGGACTGACCATCTCTCCGCCTTTTCCATTCCGTCCCACGGCTAGCGAACAGAGACCTGCACGGGAGCCTCTGGGATGACATTCTTAGCACATGTCCAAGCCACCGGAGCCGGTGTTTCCAGATGACGACACTCAATGAATGGTGATCTCCACTGTGTTCAAACACACCGCCGAACCTCAGAATTACTCACGCGATGGTGCCATCGAACACAAGCAATCCTGCGGAGACAGCGATGATCGAACACGCAGAGTCGCCGAACATCCTCAGCCTACTCGGAGAGGCCAGGTTTCACAGGCGTAGAGCAGGGCAGCCCGCACCGAAGCATTGTATACCCAGCCTTTGACAGCCAGGCTAACGTCGCGACGGCGCCATAGGTGGCTCAAGTTGATGTATGCCACCCTAGCCTTCATTATACGGCTGGAAATTTCATCCGTCACCCCTCCGCCAGCACTCACACAACTACCCAGGTACACAAACTTATCAACAACTTCAAGCGGTTCACCCGCAAGAGTGAGTGCAGGTACAGGCTCCTGCCAATCTTGTAACAGTACTTTGCACTTAGACGGCGCAAAGCACATACCATACTTACAGACACTGATCGCCAACTGATTAATTGCGATTTGAGCAGCCTGCATGCTACCGCACAGTAAGACGATATCGTCTGCATACTCGAGGGCGAAAAGTCTATCTCCAGGTAGCAGATCTACACCACCTTCATGCACATTCTTCAGAGCTGACTCCAGAATGTCATCGATAGCAAAGTTAAAGAGAAACGGAGAGGTTGGGCAACCCTGTCTAACCCTACTGTTGGTTGGGAACAGTGGTGATAGTTGGTTGTATGCCCTCACTCTACCTGAGGTGTTTCTGTATAGGACTTTCAAGATGTTAACAAATTTCTCAGGTACACCTCTCTCTAACTGACAGTTCCAGAGCACAGTTCTGTCCAACGAATCGAAGACAGCCCTAATATCAAGAAACACAACAATCGTTGGCCTGAAATACGTGTGGCGGTGTTCCAACAACTGACGAAGGATGAACACACGATCAATGCATCCACGACCTGAACGAAACCCAGCCTGCTCTTCGCGAATCAATCCCTCACGTATTTTGCACAGCCTGCGAAGCAAGACAGCAGCCGCGACTGGTAGTGTAACGACAGAAGACAAGGGCCAGGCAACAGATCGTTTTATTACAAAAATCAACACGTATTTATATATATTTTATATGCATTAATAAGGCTTATGCAAGCAAAAAAAGGCAGTCTTCTCATTGGTTGTTTCTCGGATGTTAAGCAGACAAACACAGTCTTATGATTGGTTGTTTTCGATATCTCTCGGAAAGTAGAGCCATCTATCTGCGAATCATATTTGTCCACATTTAAGTTTGCTGTGATTGGTTGTTGAAACGGCCTTGTTCCTATTTTCTCACGGCCCATATTAGTGACCTAGACATTAACGTAGATTAGTGCCAACCAATCGGAGAGCAGCCTGGTCTCACCACACTCGTCCCCCGTCAAATACGTGCGACTGAAGTCGGCTTGATCTACTTGGTGCAGGCGTCATCGTTGGCTTGTCTCGCTGTATCCATTTCTGGAGCTCGCTGACGTTCACGCGCCTCTCATTGTTCGCCATTGCGATTGTGTCTGCGTAACCCCATCTCGAAGTGACCATATATGGTCCTTCCCACTTTGGAAACTGTTTGCCTGACCCTGTCGAACATTCGTCCATACTTCGGCCCACACCTTCATATGCTGCTTTCGCCCGACCTCCCAGCAGCGTCTCAAGTAGCAGCTCCATCGCTGACAGATCTTGAACGCCACTCAACTGCGCAGAAGCCTTGAAGTCCTGCCCGAAGATCCATATGTCTCCATCAAAAACTGCAGGGTATAGGCTTTTCATTTGTCGGTAGGCAGCGACACCAAAATGTAACGACAGAAGACAAGGGCCAGGCAACAGATCGTTTTATTACAAAAATCAACACGTATTTATTATTATTATTTTATATGCATTAATAAGGCTTATGCAAGCAAAAAAAGGCAGTCTTCTCATTGGTTGTTTCTCGGATGTTAAGCAGACAAACACAGTCTTATGATTGGTTGTTTTCGATATCTCTCGGAAAGTAGAGCCATCTATCTGCGAATCATATTTGTCCACATTTAAGTTTGCTGTGATTGGTTGTTGAAACGGCCTTGTTCCTATTTTCTCACGGCCCATATTAGTGACCTAGACATTAACGTAGATTAGTGCCAACCAATCGGAGAGCAGCCTGGTCTCACCACAGTAGCAGACTGATACCCATATGATTGTCACACGAATTACGTCGACCCTTTTTAAAGATGGGGACAATAATGGCTTCGTTCCACATTGATGGCACACTCTGTCTCCCATAACTTCCTGAACAACCCAGTTAGAGCCATTGTGAGAGTCTCGCCACCATCTTTAAAAAGAGGTGGGGGTAGATTGTCTGGACCGGGCGCCTTATGGCGTTTTAACACTTGGAGTTCCTTACGGACCTCCGCTTCGGTGCGTGGGTTGGTATTAACCGACCAAGGAGCACTCGGGCTAATGACAGCAGACACCGAAGCTGGTGGCCAGCTAAACTGTTTCCCGAAGTGCTATGCCCAGCATTCCAGGCGTCTTTTCAAACTGGTAATTGGCGTGCAATTTGCCTCACAGACCGTCTCGCTGACACCTTGTTTCTTGCTGTCGGTGGCTCGGATGAGTTGGAACAACTTCCGACTGTTGCCAGATGCAGCAGCCGACTCCATCTCACACGCACGTTCTGACCGCCAGGCTTCGCGGTCCTCACGTAAACACTGTGTTATCTTGCGCGTGAGCGCCTTTCGCTTATTGTTGTATTCGCTGCCAGCCGGAATGGACCGGCGTTCATCCAGGAGTTACAAGGAACTCGCAGAAACCCAGTGGTTTTTAGCAGAGCATTCTTTCAAGCCGCAAGTGGCTACCCCAGTGACTGGATCCGTTTTTAACTATATTGTCTCATTTCTTATTTTCAACTACAGTTATTTTTGTAATTTCTTATTATTTATGTGTTTAGACAATTCCTCAGCAGGTTAACAAATCTCCCCTCGTAACACTTGCGTTTCTGTAATTTGTGCTCATCACAAATCGATAGCCATTTTTATGATCAGATACGAATAGGATTTGTCGTTGACCCTGAATTGTAATTCCTAATTTTTCATATTTCCCTCATATCAGCGTATTGCTGTTACAAATGAATTTTAAGCCGTGATACATTCTAACACACTTAAATTATCGTTTGAATAAATGGTA